TTTTGCATGCCGTACTCGCACTTCCGCCTGTATCGGGTACTCGGACTACTCCTTCTTTGTTCTGTCGCTTGCGCTGATTTTCCATTTCCAAGCTCGCAAGGCCCCTCCTCTTCATCTTCTGTACCAGGTAAGCACGAATGTTTGACACACGACACAATTGGGCCTAACGAGAGGCCGAGTTCTGGAAGCAAGAGCCCAGGGAAGAGAGTCATTGATAATCACAATTTTATGCGCCGGGCGTTATGATGCTTATCTTAGTGTGGAGGAGATGGTGTGGTCTATGAAGCTTTACAAAGTAACCTCATTGATAGATTGTGTACTTGGTTGTCGGAATCCGCCAGTGTAGAAAGTTGGGAGCATATTTTTCATTCGACTCCTCAAACGTAGCCCCCTCTCACTGTGTGTCACATCCCATCGCAGCGACTTCCGGCAGTGGCGGTGTGCCCTCAGAGAGCATGACCGACAAGGATAACAAGGGAGGCGGCGGTGCCTTTGACCCGAAGGACCTGGCCTTCAAAATGCCAACCCAGTCCAAGGACGAAATCTTCTCGGACAAGCCACCTAAAAGTTGGCCTGAGCTCGTCGGTAAGTCGATCCTGCTATTGCAGAAGACTTTTTGGGCTTGATGGGGGATCATTCAGGATCTGAATATCCCAAAGTGGTCCGACACGTTTGTGATTGTACTCATGCTTGTTGTGCTGAAGGAGATTCTCACACGTGCACTGGGACATCATTTTGGTTTTCTCTTGCGAACAGGAATGGACGGAGAAGATGCGAAGAAGCAAATCACTGCTGACATGCCGGGCCTCAACGTGATTATTCTACCCAAGGTACGTGACCTCGCCTGGAAATAGGATAAAAACTGGCGCACGAATGGATGGACGCCGAGGACTCGTGCTCCAAAAGCATTACTTTGGATGTCGAGGCTAAGCCAACACCTGCCGTTCACGAGTGGTTTGATTCGTTAAGTCTCTTGAGTATGCTTGATCAGTCATACAAGATGCTTGGGTGCAATTGTCTTAATCGTGTAGAGCTTAAAGCGGTTCGTTCGACTTGGAAACGGTCACCCAACATAGAACTCCCCCACAACCCGAGACTACCGGCTAAACCGTGTTCGGGTCTTTGTTCACGAAGACAACAAGGTGGCGGTCGTTCCACATCAAGGTTGATGGATGTATTCAACCGCCGTCACCATCTCATTCTTGCCTCCTTCCACAAAAGTGGTGAGCATATTTTGTTCACGTAATATTTGTCTTGATGGCAACTGATGTCATCAACACATTTCACACACATCCAATGACAGAATAGTCCTTGCACCATGGATTACAGGCTGGAGCGAGTTCGCGTCTTCGTGGACGAAGAAGGCAAGGTTGTAGTTGCTCCCTCGCAAGGCTAACTCTTGAAGGGACATGGAAAACAATCATCGGCTCGAGATTGAGACTCTGTTTATCCACCAAAAAAAAAAATAATTATGTCGACCATTGACTTTGGAGATTTGAGGGAAAGAAATTCTCAATGAAGTGCTGTGATGGAGAAGGGAAGGACTTTGCGGAACGAAAGGGGCATAGATAGACATTGATTGCGAAGTATTTGCGTGCTGCGAATGTGTAACTAGACATCAAAGATGGTTGGATGTCGTTGACATAAGAGAATTCCGGGACAGTAAGACGCAATGAACAATTTTGTAATTTGTGGGTTTTTTATTTTTATTGGCTATACTTTTGGTATTAAGCGCCATCGGTTAAAAAAAGATGGCTTCAAGTAAGTTTGCAATTTGCGTGAAGGGCGTTGTTCGGGAGATTAAACCATACAATCTTCACCGAATCTGTCGCGTTGCACGTGATACAGATTTTATAAGGGAATCTATGATCGCAACATCTCCAAACATAGCAAACGAAAGTGACGAATTGCGGGTCGTCTTCATGGCTTAAGAGCCTCTTCACCTCCAAGAACACAGTCATCAGCTGCTCCAGTCCTCGCCTGTAATCGTAACCCTGAAATTGACAAATATATCCCAGACCAAAGTGTTTATTTTTCTTTGTGTTGGGATGATTGTGTTTCACATATTATACACGCTATCATTCGCATCAAAACAAAATATGACCGGTACCTCCGAAAAAAAGCTGCTTCATTGTTCCTTCCTATCTATCCATCATTTTTTGCGCTTCTATCTTTCTTCGTCAGGCGCAAATGCCCACGGTATCAGCTTTAGATATGGTGCCTCATCCACAACCTGATTGATCTTCCAGTCGTTCCGGAATAGAAGCACAGGTCTGCCCCATCGATCCTTACACTTCATCGCACCGAAAATCAAGCCCTCCGCATCGGCCCTGTCGATGTCCTCCCACGTGGCCTCCGACCATCGTGCAGCTGTAAACGTTAGAGGCTCGAGGCGGGTCTCGACGCCATATTCCTCTTTCATTCGGTACGAGACGACCTCCAGCTGCAGGGGGCCGACCGCGGCTAGGATCGGCGACGTCTTCCCCTCGTCGTTCCTCTCGTACAGCAACTGCACCGCCCCCTCTTCCAGAAGTTCGTCGATACCTTTCTTGAAGCTCTTATATTTCCCCGCCGATGGATTAAATATGTAGGCGAAGACCTCAGGAGAGAAGGAGGGGATGCCTGGGAACCGGACTGTCTTGGGCCCCGTGTAAATCGAGTCGCCGATGGCGAACAGACCGGGGTTGTTCAGCCCCACCACGTCCCCAGGATACGCCTCTTCGATGGTCTCCCGGTCTTGCCCGAACAGCATGGACGCCTGGGCGAGGTTGACTTGCCGGCCCCTGAGGCGGGAGTGCGAGACCTTCATTCCCTTCTCGAATTTGCCCGAACAAATCCGCACGTATGCCACGCGGTCCCGGTGCTTTGGGTTCAGGTTCGCCTGCAGCTTGAAAACAAAGCCTGTGAACTCGGGGTGCTCGGGCCCGATCGATCCTGCCGTCGTCTCTCGCGGCGCGGGAGGCTCGGAGATGGCGAGAAATTTGTTCAGGAAAAGCGCGACGCCGAAATTGGACATGGCCGAGCCGAAAAACATAGGGGTCTGCTCCCCCCGCATCACCTTCGCCACATCCAGCGAGGGCATCAAGGCATCCAAGAGCTCCACGTCCTCCTCCAACTGCGCGAAGAGCGTCGAGCCCAGCAGCTTGGGCAAGCCCGGGTCCGACAAAGGGAGCGCGTCCAAGGCGGTGGCCTTCTCCTTGCGGCCCTGCCTCTCGAACAGGTGCACGACCCGGGCCTCCCGGTCGTACACACCCTTGAAGTCCTCCCCGTCACCGATCGGCCAGACCATGGGCACCACCTCCAGGCCCATCTCCCTCTCGATCTCGTCCACCAGCTCCACGGGGCCCTTGGCTGGTCGGTCCATCTTGTTGACGAACGTATAGATGGGCAGCCCCCGGAGGCGACAGACTTTGAATAGCTTCCTGGTCTGGGCCTCGAGCCCTTTTCCGGCGTCCACGAGCATGAGTGCGTTGTCGGCAGCGCTGAGGGTGCGGTAGGTGTCCTCTCCGAAGTCAGCGTGGCCCGGCGTGTCCAGAAGGTTTATTTGAAAGCCTGAGTACTGTTCATGGTCAGGAGGCGCACGGGCCCAAGAAGGATATGAGAGGTTACATAACGCGCACGGTCGCAAAAAGGCCAGCGTGGTGCCCCTGATCGCCAGCCCGCGGGCTTCGAGAAGGACCATGGCATTCCAATAGAGGAGCACCGTTTTCACCACCTCGCTAGCCCCCCCGCAATGGACACACCCATACAGCGACTCACATCGAATGTAAGGACCGTGGAACTGATAGAGATGCCGCGCTGCTTCTCCATCTCCATGAAGTCGGACTGAGTCTTGCGCTGCGATGCCCGAGAGCGAACAGCGCCCGCTTCGTTAATGGCTCCTCCGTAGAGTAGCAGCTTCTCCGTCAAAGCTATAATCGTGTTGAGCGAAATAAAAGAGTAGTGGAATATTCGGTCCCAAACTTAGAATGTCAATGCATTTTCCATTGGAATCTACTGCATATCCACAAAACATGGGAGGGGAGGACAAAACGAGCCATCGACCAGGACCTCACCAACTCATTAACAATTGCGTTCGATATGATCCATCTTAGCAGCGTTCCTGCACACTTACTGGTTTTGCCCGAATCAGGATGCGAGATAATTGCGAAAGTACGACGCTCTAGGACCTTGCTTTTTGTCTTGTCAGAAACCACCGTTTGGATCGCCTCTGTATGGAAGAGAAAGGTGATCGTGACCAAAGGTGGAAATAAAAAGATGTCCTACAGGACTTATTTGGCTTCCAACAAGTTTATATCCTTACCCTTTGCTAAATTCTCCGTAGGTGAGATAGCTTCGAGCATCTCGGATGAGCAAACGGGGCTCACGCGGTGCCTCAAATCCAACGCCGACGAAATGGGGAAAAAAGCCGTGACATGGCAGCAAAGCAAGAGTGCTAGGAGTAATAATGTGGCAGCATAGTATCGCTTTGAAGCCATCAAAATGCCCTTCGCGACGACTTTACTCCTGGTGCCCCTACCCTCACGTGTCAGAATTGCTGTTGCCGTTGATGGGGGAAAAAAGTTGACACAGGCAGCAAAACGGACAAGACAGTGGCCTGATTTGTGTCCTTTTCTCTTAATCTGCGAACAAAGACGAGAGGAATGTATGAAATCGTATGAATTGTGTGTTGACTTCTACCTTTACAATGTTTGTTGTCTCTTGCTTTCACGTGAGCCATACTATGGCCCGCGTTTCGGCTTCTGCGCCTGAGGAGCGACAACCTCTGTGGCCGTCATTTGCTGGGCACTTATACCACTGTTTTCCAGCGAAACTACTCCGCAGATGCCGAAGAGTTTGGTCAACAGGGCATGTTAATTAATAAAGGTTGCGTTATTGTGTCGATGACGCTACAAGGTGTGAAAGCTGCCCTTTCAGTGATAGCCTCACAATGTTTTACTGCGCTAGAAAGAAGGAGGCAAGCCAGCGATACCTCACGCGGCAAACTTACTTTTCTTTACAACCCACAGAATCATGAATGTCGTGGCCTCATACTTATTGCTGAAACTTGGAGGAAAGGACCCGAGTGCAGATGACATTACCTCTGTCATTGCATCCGCAGGAGGTGAGGCTGATGCCGCGCAGGTAGAGCTCTTGCTGAAGGAGATGGAGGGCAAGGACGTAGAGGAGCTGCTCAAGGACGGAAAGGAAAAGTTGAAAAGCGTTTCTATGGGTGGAGGTGGCGGTGGAGGTGGCGGTGGGGCGGCGCCAGCAGCCGCGGGAGGCGATGCTGCACCGGCAGCTGCGAAGAAGGTGGGTGCTACTCGGTGGTGTTACGGATAAGGGAAGATGCGGGGTTCGTCAGGATCAAGGGACGTGTTTCGACTTTCATCGACATCATGAGACAAGCGTTTATTTGTCATTTGATCACTTGACCGTTCGGCTTTCCATTTCCGCAGGAGGAGAAAGAGGAGGAGGAGGCAGACCTCGGAGGTGCCATGGACATGTTCGGGGTGAGCACACGCGGAGATGCTGGGAAAGGTTTACACACGCACAACTCTCATGTCATTGTACCGTGCCCGTTCCTTTCTCCTTCGTATTTTAGGGCGGAGACGGGTACTAAACTCTCGTATCGCCGCACGCGTTTCGGTGGGGGTGGGGTATCAGACGGTCGGTATGGGCGTAGAGGGAGAAGCAGACGCGGTCTTGTGCGTTGCTTGGGTCTAGGATGCGCGCGATGGAGAGAGCGTGGTTAGGGTAACCAGAAAAACGTACGGAACACCGTCGCGCTGCCCGTTTGGCTCCTGTCGTGTGTCTTCTCCCACTCAATGCATCGACTCTTTGGGTAGAACGTGGTGGTTGCACCGCATACTTTACTTTAATGATGGGCTCACGTACAATTATGCGGAGGCCCGTGATTCGGACCAGGCATCGCCAGTGAGTGACGACCGTCTCGACAAGCTTGGAAGTCCGGGTCGTTTTCTAGGGGTAAATGTTTCTTTCTCATCTTTTCACCGTACACGCGGACACGGCCCTAAGCTTATCCTCGGTAGCTTTGGACACGAAACGTTGGCGGCGCTCGCACTCTTTTCTCGCTCCCTCAAAAGTGGTCTACCTCGTCCCCCTCCTCGGCGCATACAGCACTTTCTCGTGTCCCCATCCCCCCGCGTCGCTCAATGGTGTGCATTTGTCATTTAATTTACTGGATATCATTTCATATTGTCACGTGCGAGCCGATACAAGACAGCCTACTCGAATCGGGCGGGGCTTTTGCCTTCTCAACCATCAGGCTCCAGACACCTATCCCTACCACACTACGCCCTCGCTGCCCCCGTCCTCGATCCATCCTCCTGGCCGCCCTCTGCGTCACACAGCCTCCGCTCTCTTTCTGTTGCCCCTCTCATAACATGTACTATCTACATTTTGGACCGTAATTTTGTCTTTGGTTTCCTGACGTGTTGCTTTGTTTTGACAAGCACTACCCAGTGGCGGAGTTCGGGAAAGGTTGCGCCTGCGTGTCCCCCCCTTTAACGCCGGGCGTCCTTGTCCTTCCCCCCCCCATCAACCTACTGCTCCTTCAGCGACTTTGTCCGTGTCTGCTTGAAGTCCGCCATATTCTCTCCGATGCCCATAAAGTCGTAAATAAAATCGCGAACCAAGGCCGGCACGCCGTTGGTCACCATCAGGATGTACGTGTACCGGGGCAGGTTCAGCAAGTTCCTGTTCTTCTCTGCCGCGTCGATGATGGAGGTCGCCACATACTCAGGTTGCAGGATCGGCAAGAGGATGGGTGCCTTGGTCTTGGCGCCGGTGAACATGCCCGTGTCGATAAAGTAGGGGTTGACAAGGGTCATGCGGATGCCCGGGCGTTTCAAGCGTCGCACTTCGGTGCGAATTCCCTCGTGGAAAGAGATGGCCGCCGCCTTGCTCGTGCAGTAGTCAGCCAGCCCGTCCACTCCCACCAGACCCGCCGTGCTCGCCACGGTGATGATGTGCCCGTGGTTGGCCTCCACCATGGCCGGCAAGAAGGCCTTGATCGTCCAGAAGTGGGCGATCACGTTCACCTCCATGGTCTTGAGCGAGTAAGCGTCGTCCCCTTCCAAGAAAGGCTTGCCGGCCACAATGCCTGCATTATTCACCAGCACACTCACGCTCTTCCCGACGTCTTTTCGCATCTGCTTCGCCACCTCGTAGACGCGCTCCCGCTCGCTCACGTCCACCTTGTAGGTGAAGACCCGGGCGCCAATGCCTTCGACTTCCCGCGCTACTGCCTTCATGGCTCCCTCATTCAGGTCCCAAATGATGATGGTGGTATTTTCGTAGGCTGCAAACTGTCGTGAGGAGAAATAAAAAAGGAGCAGATGTGCAAATCAATGAGGGTAGAGCGCTTGCGGGCAAAGAAGGAAGGTGTGAATTCTAGCCCAGGCTGTGACGTGGACAGCACGCACACAGCGGCCAATCATCACAAACAAAGCACAACAATCTATCAGTGGCCAATTATTTTCAGCCCCGCTTCCCCCGTCACCCCTCTTATGAAAAATTCACCTTTAAGGCCATGAGACGTCCTATGCCGCTTGCACCGCCTGTGAACAAGAGAAGCGGAAGACTTATCAGCAACAGCAAGAAAAAATCCATGGTATTTTACATAGCAACACATTTAGCATTAAGATGCCGATAAGCTCACTCGAAAGGCGGGTGTCGCGTACCTGTGATTAGTATAGTCTCGCCGCGGAAGCTCTTCCGTTTAGGGAATAGAAGGTCAAAATATTCGACCTGGAGTAAAACCAGTGACCAAAGAATGGCCCCTACACATTGTATAAAGCCGTAGATGTGCGCCCATACGTCTGCGACGGTTTCTTTCCAAGGGCTCATTTTATAGGCTGCTGGCACCCCCTGACTGTGAAGGCGAGGTTTGTCGGTGATGGGAAAGGAAGCTTGGCGCGAGGTGCGAGTTTCCTCTACGGTGAGTGTGTGTGGGCTCCAAAAATAAATCAAGGCGATGGATAATATCCGCCACAATTCACGTGCTCTCCAAGCTACACCCAAATTTCTGCGTGGGTCGTGTCCCATGCCCGGGGCACGCAAAGGGAGGCAGGCAAGTGTACGAACGTGAGGGAAGCGGACTTAGTTTCAGGGTTTACACTCGCCAACTCCGGGTAGCTTTGCGGGCGCCTCGGCGGTGGGGCCCCATGCCTGGTGCTGCCAGGAACGTGCTCGTGGACCCTTTGCTCCCGTATTCAATCGACTGAGTCTAATGTGGAACATGCCAATGGACCGGTTGCGCCATTTTTTTTGTAGACTTAAGTCTCATGTGGAGGAAAATAACTTCGGTGAGGGATGCTGGTTGTGTTCGGTTATTCTCTTCTTTGAGACTTCGTTCAAATGCACCCCCAGCATTGCTGAACATCCCAACAGCGTTTCAGTCCTCGCCTGTCCTCACTTTCCATGAGTATGAGCGGGCCTAATACACCGCCAACACTGCACCACATTTCTGTGCTTTCTTTCTCCAATGCTGAAGATGCATTGCTTCTCTCACTACATCAATCGATTAACCTCTATCCTGTCGATGAACGTCGCCAGTGCTCAACTGAACAATCATACTTCCTGATATTTTTTGTCGATTTCCGACGATGTGTGCAGGGTTTATTCGACCTTGGCAGACGCACGTCTGGAGGAACGACGCTTGGAGATGGCGGACCGGCGAGACTCTTTCCGTTCATTGAGGCGCTGCTGGAAGATGCGATGGTACTCTGCGGCCTCAGCTTTAGCCTTGGTCGTGGCTGCCTTCTTCGCTTCCAAACGCCGGCGCTTATGCTGTGTGTACGGTAAAAAAAATTAGAATTATGGCCAAGAAACGATCCTGGCCGAGGACGTCAATCAGAGCGGCGATTGCAGGAGGCGGATCAGATAGTGGTGCATGTCGTGTCACACATGTACTAGGAAGCAGGTGAGGAAGGCAAAAGGAAGGTAAAAAGGTTTATTCAACCCCTTTCCGCTAGCCTCCTACCGAATATCCCCATCCAACCGCCTAACGTTTTCAGAACAGGTCTGTGACATGGTGTATTATCATCTTCTCGACCTCATTCAGTAATTCGATCTATTATATATATCAGCCCAGCATTCGCGTTCACATAAGTTCACCCGTCGTCTCCTTACCTGGAGACGAAGGGGTGTGATGAGCCGCTGGATTTTGGGTTTCTTGACGACAGTTTTCCCCTTCTTATTCTCAAACTTGCGCTCAACAGGATATGTGGTGACGTCTGCATCTTTGGACAAGTTGAAAAGCTTGCGAATGTTGTTCGCGCGCTTGGGGCCCAGGCGACGAGGGACCGCACTGTCTGTGAGGCCGACCACATCCTCCTCCCCCCGCTTCACCAAAACTAGGTTCAGCACCGACAGGTCAGGTCCGACGATAGCGCCGCGGACAGACTTGCGCTTGCGCTCACCCTTTCGGCGGGCTCGATAGCAGGACAAGCCCTTGCGCAAGAGGAGACGGACGCGCTGGTCGGTGAGCACGCCCTGCTTCATGGGGAACCCCTGTTTGTCGTTGCCGCCAGAGATTTTGAATACATAGCCCTTGAACTCGTCCCCAATGTGTTCCCCGTCCACCTCCTGCGAAATACGCCGGTCGTAGAAAGCTCGCAGACGCTTCTCGTCGTCAATTTCTACCACATGCTGCTGACCCGTCTGAGGGTTGGCAATGTTGAGCTGCGAGTTGGGAAGGGGACGATGAGAACTTCTTCATTTCGGGGAGATTAAAATGTGAGCGGTACAACAAAGCCTTATAAAACTTCTTACCTTCATGGTGGCAGTGTGTAAAGAGCTACGGCCTCCTTTAAAATAAGAGATGAGAAGGGAAAAGCGTTTGCGTGGGAGGTGGTGGGTGGGGAGATAAACGAGGGACAGAGTGGCATGCCCGGACAAATTAAGCTTCCACTCCTTCCATGGCCCCTCATAGGACTACACATATAGGTAACATTCGAGTAGAGGGATCACGATGGAAGTGCGACACCTCCAGGCTGCACGTGACTGCGCCATCCACCACACCCACCCTTCCTCGGCGAGGGCAAAGGGTAGGGAGGCAACAGCCCCGCCCAGCCATTTACATACCACGCAAAGCATCTCCATAGACGCAAATGCACAGATGTCATGTGGTGAACACACAGAGTGTAAAAAAATCCAAGTCCGCACGAGGCGGCATGGCAACCAAACGCGGGGCAGGCAGACCGCCTTCTTTCTCCGTGATGTGTGGCGGCGAGGCCGTGCGAGTGTGCGGACACACACTGTCACAGCGCCGGCCCCGCCCCGCATTGTTCCGCCAGGGCACTGAGGCACTCAAAGTGTACCGAATATAACTGACACGTCAGGATTCCTTGCATTTTCAATAGAGTACACGAGCCTCTGTAAACGTCTCCAAACAAGGTAGGGGAGGAAGAGAATTTCCGTCCAGAAGGAGAAAAGGGGGGCCATCCAAAATATGCAGCAAGCCACAATTGCCCCAAAGCCACAACAACGTACACATGACCCTCGGCGTTCCAAGCACATATTTCCGTATCTTTCCCTTCGGTACGCACAAAGTATTGATAAAAAGATGTCACCCTTTTGTCCATTGTACTTCCGATGTTACAACTCGTCACTCTCTGTCCTTACTCTCCTGTAGAGCCCGCGATAGCGTGGAGGAGCCCTATAGGTACGACTCAATTGGTGTACTTTCCTTGTTCCTAGCAGTACTGTGTATCCTTACGAGATTGAGGATCTGCGCCTGGCTTTCGCTTTTCATGTTGTGCTCAGCGGCAGCAAATGTCCGCTACTCCTCCTTTGACGGTCGTACTCTCTTCGGAGCCTGTATAGCGATGCTTTTTGCATTCTACACGGTATACATCAAAAGCTTCTTGGAATGATAAATGATGGTTGCACATAGATGTAACTGCCTTCTTACCTCTCGTGGAAGACACGGCAATCGGTGGCGATGGATGGCTTCGACCTTTGAATCGTGATGGGGCGCCTGTCTAACAAACTGTACATAACGTGAAAATTCTGAAAAAAGAAACGCCGAGAAGAATTGTTACACAGATCGAGACCGATGCCTCTGCACCGCATTTCAATTTCCTTCCTCTTTTACATCCACCGTCCTCAAAAGATTCCTTTCCTTGCCATTTAAACATTTACAACATCCAGCCAAGTATATGTTGCTGTGCCTCCATCGTAAAATCAAGCCCTCAAGTCGTGTAACGCTATGCCACCTCACAACCTCCCTCTCCCCCGTTTCGTCTGTTAGAATATGCGCCTCCGGGGTCCTCTCCCCGTCTTCCATGGCCTTTGTTCCCTCCCAACCGCTCACGCGCCTCCTCTCCTCCCGACCGCCCCCGACGTGGCCCTCCTGCCGCTACCTCCCCCTCCGACCCCGGTCAATACCCCAGAGGCCCCCCAGCTGACCCGTTGTCGCTGTTGCTGCACGAGCTTGGAAGGTTCTTGTCCGTCATCGCCACCCTGTGGAACCCCCTGTCCTCCCTCCCTGGCCCCCACCGCACGCGTGCTCGCACGAGCCTCTGCCTCTTCCGCGTCCATCAACTCCGCTACCAAGCCTCCTTCCCTCGTTCCTTTCCATTCCTGGGCAGTGTCCGTGGGGGCCGATGCCCCGCCGCGAGGTACCTTGGACGGGGCAGAGGCTCCTTTCCCGCGGAAAAGGCTGCCGCTCACACCACTGCCCGCGATGCGGACAGGCGCTTGGCCACCCGCAGCTCGCTGCCTCTTGCTTGCGCCCCCTTTCGCTCCCACCCGCTGCTGCCACTCCCGGGCATGCAGAACCAGCTTGTCGCGGAGACTGTGGTCCCGCTCCCTCAACAGCCCCTGCACCTTTAGCCGGAGCTCCTCACACTGCCGCCGATACTCCACGTCCTGGGCCTGCAAACGCTCCTCCATGACCGCGTCCCGCTTTGCTACTTCCTCTTTCAAACGTCGGCGGTAAAGCTCAACCAGGTCGGCCTCGTACTTCTCGCGCTCCGCCGTCGTCTGCGCCGTGATTTCAGCCACCGTCTGGTGCCGCACCTCCCTCGCCCACGCTTCTTGGTCCTGTGCACGGTTTTCCGCGTATTCTTGCCGGATTCTCATTTCCAAGTCAGTGCGGAGAAGGTGCAAGTCATTCTCTGATGGCTCTTTCTGCCCCTGGCCCTCCTCCGCTTGGTCCTTCAACGTCTGCAGACGCACCTGACTCTGCCGGAGTTGCCCTTCCAAATGCTCCTTCATCCCGCGCGCCCCCTCCAGCTCTTTCCGCAGCTGATCGACCACCGAGCGGGCACTATTAAGCTCTTCCACCTTGGAAGACTGGAGCTTCGAGACCATCTCCGCCTTCTCGCGAACCTCCCTCTGGAGAGCGGCTATCTTCGTTTCCAGCTCCCCTACGACCCTCCTCAAGTCCTCTGCAGTCCGGCGCGAAGATGACGGGCCAGAAAATGAAAGCATATCTTTGAAACTCTTTCTTTTTAAATCTGGTCGATAACGCTGCTGCTGTTGAAGACGATCTCGTTGGTGTGCTTGCTCCTCGTCCTCCCCGGGCATAGATGACACTTCCTGGAAGCGGGCACGTCGCAATTCGTCCTTCGCTTGAATTTCGGCTTCCTCGGCTGCGTCCAGCTCGTCCTGTTCCTCCGAGATCCGGCGCATCTCTTGTTGATAGCGGCCTTGTTCCTCTTGGATTTCTCTTTCGAGGCGCCGCTTCTCCTTTCCCAAGTGGCGGGCGGCACGATGGTCATGCCATGCGCGACGGATTACCGATGCGTAGCGCTTATGCAATATTCGACCTGTAGCACCTGCAAGAACTGTGGCAATCGACGGCAGCAAAGCTTTGTGGCTTTGTTCGCGCAGAGTATTCCACATGGCATGGTTCGCCAGACTGCCGCTACGCCTGCCACCGGTCCGGGAGAGAGATATCGGGCTTGTCCACGAGTCGGTACCGTCAGCATTACCAACAATGGAGGCATCATCTTCATCCAGAAGATCCTCTGGAATCTCGCTTAAGCTGAAGCCCCCACTGCTGCCCGTGAACCCTCGAACCACTTCCTGAGCGAGAATGAAGGCGAACAAGAATGCGAAAAAGAAGAAGATCCTCATCCTTGCGGCCAATTTTCTAGACAGATGCTTACAATCTGTCGTGATGGGTTGGCACTTTTTCGTTAAGCCCGTGCGTGACAAAACCACGGACGGTGTCGATCATGTTGGGCACAGAAGGAAGTGAAGAACAAGGCTCGCGCGGTGTGGCCTGGGGGGGAAATGGCGGGAACGGACCGTTACGACCTCCGGCCGTTGAGAGGCTTTCCCTGCCGGCTTCCGCCTTTGGAAAAGCGCATTTTAAAAACCAACGCTACGTTTCCTTTGTTTTGCGAGCGATTTATGCATTTCGTTCCTCATTCCTTGTAGGCACATATTATTGAACTTCAACACGCTCCTTAAATAGCAACTTCCGATCAAAATAAAACGAATGCCAGCTTATGCACATCTACCCCTAGCCATGGCTAAGACCAGTGTAAACAACATGGCGGAGGACAAGATAATAACCTCATACAAAGGAATATTTCCCGCGACCCCATCTTTTGGTTTTGGATCCTCCCCACGTGACACCATTGCTCCTTCACATTCGGGTAACGACACGCCAGGACCTGGCGCTTACAATCTGAAGTCAACTCTGTCAGGGCATGTGGCTGACTCCAGGATCAGATCAACGAATGGCTTTTCTCTGCGCGGAAGAGAGGGATTTGGGAGTAAAATCTTCACAAAGGATAGAGCGTGCGTCGATGAACCAGGTCCCGGAGCGTACCTTTCCTCACAAAGCCGGAAAGGAGGGTTGCTGAGTAACCCTAAACATCGAGCCGCGCCACAATTTTCCTTTCCAAAAGGCTGTTCTCCACGTAATAAATTGATTATACAGCCAGGTCCTGGCCACTATCATTTCAAAGATACGTTAGGCCCACAAGTTTTGTCCAGCAGGGCCAGTCCACCTGTTTCTACGTTCGGAAAAGGCCGAAAGCGGCAGAGCTTCACAAGCGATTTAGCCCCAGACCTAACGTCAAGTGGAGCGGGACCTGGTTTTTACAATGCCGTCAGTGCCTGCGGTAAGCAGGTCGATTCAAGGAAGCGAAATGGCGGGGGGGTCCGCTTTGGGAAGGCAGAAGGCCCTTCGACTTCGGTAAAAAGAAAGAATTTTTAGGATGTCACAATAGCTAGAGCTTTATACTTAATATGATACAATCAGAGAGTGTCTTGACAATTAAGAAAACGCTATTCAGAAAACTTTAAAAGTACTATCCCTTTGTCCTCGGACACCACGCTTCTTAACCCTAACCCTAACCAAACATTTCTTGTCTAATGCACACGTAATTCTGATATCTCCTGCTCTATAGCGCGTAAGAAGTGAGACACATAATCATGTTCTGGTGGCATCCTCGTATTCCTCGCTTTGCAAATGCTAGCATACCAGTCTCGATGATGGCAAAGGTAGTCAGCGTAAATTTGGTGTGTACGCCGGTCCTCCCGCGCAAGGCGCATCAATGCGTCTCCGAGCATGCATGTGCTATTATATCTAACTTTTTCACATTGCCCAGCTTTGTCTGCTTTGTTGGCATTGACACTCGCGGCCATGGTCACGAACCAGCGGCTATTGACATAATCAATGCGCTCCTGCTGGATGCTAAATCCCTGTGACTTAACACAATCACGGACTTCATTTACATAATGCGGTCGTGAGTCAAAGGGTTGCAAGACAAGATATTTAAACTTTGCCCCTTCCCTGACATATTTTAGTGAGCTCAACACTTCTATAATTGTGCCGCTGCCAAGCCCGGCCATACATAGTGTATCGACAATGTTAACATCTTCAGGAATCAAGGCCTCAAGACCGTCACCATGTCGTAGCTCTAGTGATGCTGTCAGAGGATATTTTTCTATACGTGAGTACGCGTGCTCTCTTAGATTTTGCCTTGCCACGTCTAGAGGGTCTAGCGCTTTGTCGATACCTATCACTTTGCGCAAATTTGGATGATCTCGACCCGCAGCCAAGGCAAGCCCTAGCAGTGCATGATCACACCCCACATCTACAATTCCCTTCGCATGTGAAGGTACAAGGCGGTAAACGGCAGACAAACGAGGACCCAATTTTTGCAGAATTGTTGAGGATTGACTTGCTTGCTTTTGAAAAGCAAAAGCAGCGATTGCCGTCTTCAACGGCATCAGTAGGCCCGTCCATCCCATGTACTCTTCCCTGAAGCAGCAAATAAAGTAAAGGAGAGATTAAGTCCATTAAGCTGCGTGAGATTCACTAGGGGAAAAAAGGAAGTAGCACCAGGGTGCGAGTGGAGGGAGGAGGTTACCCTCAGGTTGATGACGACATCGATCGCCTTGCGAGGCGCAATAAGGTTTGTACGAGGACCGTGCCTTTCAATGCTCTCATCACGTGTGAAACGCACAAGCAGATTGGCGGCAGGGCCCTCAGAGAGGCGACGTAGGCCATGGCGGCACAGGGTCATGGCCTTGCGGTGGCAATGCGCGTGCTCTGTTGGTGCCTGACGTTATCTTTCCTCGTGCACGCCTTCACGCTTCAGCAGCAGCCGAAACGACACCTCCATCCCTTGTATGCAGGAGGAGGCGGGGACAAAGAACGAGTTGCCAAACTCCTACGTTTGAAAAAAATTAAGGAGGGTGGAGGAGACTATAACCGCTTACTTGATGGAGGGGTCTCCGGCAGCGAGGGAGGACAAGAGGACTACAGGTACTGGGATAACGATGCGAATGACGACGCCGCACTGCCCGACTCATCAGAGTACACCGCCGAGGATCAGGAGATGTACAACGAGCTGAAGCGACAGGAAAAGCAAGCCTTGCTCGACAAGATCCTCAAGTCAAAGGCCCAGTCTCAGACCCAGTCTTCGTCCACCACATTAAGCACCTCTTCCGCCTCGCCCAACAAGGGACAGCCCTCGCCGTACCTGGCTCGTAAGCTGCAGCAGCTCCAGGATGTTGAAAAGCGCTTCCAGAATGTGGAAACATACAAGCCTCAAAGTACGTCCTGGGGCGAGTTTGCGCGACCGAAGAACATTCCTGACGCCTTCGGGGGAGGCGTGCACATCCCCGAGGGCGGTGTCACCCTGGAGGGGGACAAGGAATGGCTGGCAAAGTACGATACGCTGATGGCTCAGGTGCGGGAATACAAGAAGGGAGTCCAAGGCACGGTCCTGACCCCCCTCGAAAAGGCGGACGAGGAGCGTATCAAGGTAGCGAGGACGCAGGCGCGTAAGTACATGCTGCGAGGCGAATACGAGGCCGCCAAGGCCGTGCTCCTCCCCTTCCGCAGCATCTGCTCGGTACGGAGCTCATTGGGCGCATCCACGCTCATGGATTTAGCCATGGCGCATGAGGCAGTGTACGAGTTCAAGGAGGCCCAAGACATCTACACGCAGGTCAGGAGCTCGCCCGTGAAGGACCTGCGGGCCAAGGCGAAAGCGCTCAACCTGGGTGCGGAGGCCATGAAGAAGCTGGGGCTCGGCTCCAAAAGCAATGTAAACCCACGCAACATGATCAATTTCGCCTACATACCGGGGCAGATCGAAGGGAGCTACGGCCTCTATATGAAGGGAAAGAGCAGCCCTAGTCCGGACGACTCCATGTCGGGGCTCCGCATCGAATCAGTAGCTCAGGCCCTTGAGGTACTTGAAGACGCCGTAATAGCCCAGGGTGTGGGCGTCCGCTTCGATGCAATAAATGCTGCCCTGCGAGTGGTGCACCAAGATGTCTTGCGCAGCGATTTTGCGTCGGAAGGTCCCTCTCGACGCCTGGCCCCTGTCCCCGTCCAAGACCTAGATGGTCGGTGGCGGTGCCGCCTCACTGCCCATCAAGAAAGCGTCGATTTCCTCACCAAGGTTGACGTCTGGCAGCGGGTTGAGTCTGAGACTAGGACAATTACCGGAAAGCTAGTCGTGTCGCCATTCGAAGTTGTACGGGACGTAAAAGTCGCATTTACATTCGACGGCACGGGGCGCGTGTTAAATTATGGGGTTGAGGGGTCCATGGCTAGTACATTGGGGATTCCTACTGGACTGCCACACACATTACGGGTCCTCGCCATCACTGACACCATGTTGGTAACTGCTAGATCGTCGGATGCGAAAGGTACGACTCCAAAGGAGTCATACGAGGCGCGATTTGCGGTGTGGACACGGGCGGGATAAGCAGTAGGGCTCCAATTAGTTTGTGTATATACCTGCATGTTGATGGCAGAAGCTGTCATGCGTTAGTAATTTGATAGGTCCAATAAATTATGTATTGAGTGGCGAGTAATAAACAATGAACCAGTGAAAGCCGAGTCATAAGCTTCCCGGTGGTGGGGGGGAGGTTATGAGGAGGTTATCGAGGGATCGATATGGCCCGTTTCGCGGCCTGCGCGCACCTAGCACATGCTTAAACTTCGTACATTGTGTCACTTCTATGCCTGCCGACTGTCAGCTTTGTATTGAATCCTCGGTCATAGCACACACCCCTGAAATCTGTCTTTGTTCCGGCGGCTACATTTTTTAGGGCCGGAACCGGTTACGCGCTCCGTCGTTGCTCCTCTCCCCCAGCCCGCACGATGTACGTCTAAACAACGCATAAGAAGAGCATTGAATGCGTCTCGAAGGCCACCGATATGAAAAAAAGACCCGCTCGCGTCAGAATTTGTGATGAATTAGCTTGTTGAAGGAGCAGGATTTGCATGCTTCTTCTGAATCTTGATCATCTCTTTCTTTTGGCGTTGATAACAGGATGAACTCCGATGGCGCAAGCGAGGGTATGAAGAGTATGGATAGCAATATGCCCATGCCGAGGTCGATGCCCATGTCCATGGATCTTACTCTCAAATGCACATGTCAAGTGGGCAAGCTTTTTATCGCAGCATGGGACATCGACACATGTTCGGTTTACTATGCTAGCCTTGCCGCAATCTGCTTCTTCTGCTTCTTGCGGCATTTACTCACTATGCACAAGACTAGGCTGGTTTTGCGCTTGGCTGAGCAAAATACAGGTATACATCTCTTGCATTTTAGTGAGCGAATTCTACTTCCTCCATCTCCATGTCGTTGTTTCTCGTGCACAGGTCAGGCAAGTGACGGGACGACATCCATGCTAGTAGGCTGCGCAGCGAGCAAGCCTGGTCCGACGTCGTCGACGTATGGATCAACCTCAAGAAGTGCAAGGGTGACAGACGAGGAGGAACAAGAGCTCGTGGGGAAAAATGGGAGCTGTGTCGCCCGTGAGGCCTGCGTGTCGGATGCGTGTAAGCCTTTGCGGCTGCTGCCCTCGGATGACGCGCTGGCCAAGTTTGGGTCCACAATCAGCGTGCGGGATCGTATAGTGCTCACGTGCTACTTTGTGTTGTTGAGTACGTCGTCCTTGCTGGTGATGCTTCTGGCGATGACTTTCAATCTAGGCGTCATCGCTGCCATCCTGGTGGGGGAGGGGGCCGGCCACCTGGCCTTCGCGTCAGACGCCCTGCACAATCTCCTTCACGCGGGGAGTTTTCATTAGCCATAACCCCGTGGATGAATGGGGTTAAATGTCAAATATAGGGATGGGTTAAGAAAGGCCTGCGAATCAGGCAAAGTACATATAGCGAGGGTAGTCATGTATGGACAGAAAGAGAACGAATGCAGCAAAGGCATCATTCCTATGTCAAGGCAAGTGAAATGGAAGGGATGCTTGATAACCAAATTAAAGCAATCCTTGGCAAGGCAATGATACCAAAGCCGAGTTTGCACGCGACGTGCGGATGCTTTTGCCTTCTTTGCACGTTTTCCCCACCTCAAGATACCCCCCCCGCCGACACCTTCGGCTTTCAACTACTCGCGTAGTGCCGCAGGCGGTAAAGCAAGACGCGGCCGCGGTCGTTCCCAACGGCAAGCATGCCGCTGTTCGGGCTAAAGGCCAGGGCGGATGGGTAGCGGATGGGGGTCTGCCCGGTGGGCCAGTTCGAGAAGACGGTCCGCGAAGGCACATGCACGACCCGTAGGGCGTCGCGGTTCCACTTGGAGGCCATGGCCAGGAGCATGCCGTCGTGGTTGAAGGCGAGCGTGTCGACGGCCGTCACCAGGTGCGTCAAAGCCTTGCACGGGGCGAGCGCGGCGGTGGAGTGCCAGGATGTCGGCCCATGCTCCGGCCCTGCAGCCCCCCCGAGCACCGCCTCCTCCTCGTACAGGTTCACCACCCCGCTCTCCGCCCCCACGGCCAGCATGCCCGCGGAGGCGGCCAGCGCGGAGGTAACCGTGCCGCCCTCATTGTGAAAGCGAGCCAGGCACCGCCGCGACCGTAGGTCCCAGCGGTAGACGACCGCGTCCCCCCCCGAGGCCATCAGGTGCCGCCCGTCCGCGCTGAAAGCCAGCGCCCTGGCCGTGCCGTTCATCTTGAACTCCCCCGCCCACTGCTTGCTCCGGGCCCCGACCAGCACCACATAACCGTCCTTGCCTGTGAAGGCCAGCCATTGCCCGTCCGGTGAGGCCACGAAACGCTCCAAGCTCTTCTCCTCCCGCCCCATCAGCCGCGGCACCCGACTCGAAGCCCCCGCTTCCAGGTCGTGCCAGTAGAAGAAAGGTCGGCGCCCGCTCACCACCACCTCCCGGAAGGATTTGTCCCCCCCCCCGTCCACGAAAGCCGCCGCCTGGATGGGCAAGTCCTGGAAAAAGACGCCCGCCACCTTGTCGTTCCGCTTTCCGTCCACTTGAAAGAAGCGCAGGGTCTTGTCCAGGCCCGCCGTGAAGAGGAGTCCGCCTGTGGAGGGATGGAACTGCACGGCCTGCACCACGGCCTGCGACGGCTCCTGCAAGTTCGCATCTCGACACCGAGCCACCTCCAGGGTTCCTGGTTGAAGCCGCCGGCGAGTGCTTGTGCCAGAACCTACCACCAAAGGCGCACTGCTCCGAAAAAGACCTCCAAAGTCATCATCCCCCTCCACCACTTCCTCTTCCTCCTCCTCGCTAGTCTCTGCGCCTCCCCACTCTCGTCCACGTCGACGCCTACCTCGCCGCCCATCCCCCCTGTCTCCAGGAGTTGTCGGCAATCTTGCCCAGTCCAAGGCTGCCTCATGACCTTTCGCAAACCTTGCACGCAATCGCTCTTGGTAATCGGCTCCGCTAATGTCCCTCTCGTCCGGGTGCCGGCGCAATTTACGCAGCCTGTCCTTTCTCGCCACATCCACCCAAAGCGTCTCATCGTCCTCATCTTTCCAGGCGGGCGTCCGTGTCGATCCACTCCCTTCGACCTCGTCTTCATGATTGTTTCCTAAACCTCCCTCCCACACTGTGTCCTGTGGCGTGAGACCATCTTCACCTTGGAGAAGCGCTTCCGTGTCTCGGGCCCCAAATACGAGACGCTCCAAGGTGCGTTCTTCGTCATCCTTCTCTGCTTCGTCGTCTACCTTTCTCCGCCTTTGCTGTTCGTTTTGCTTCCTCTGGCGCTTGGACGGCCCTGCCTGTGCTATTATATTAGCCTCCTCCGGCCCCACGCCTGCCTCTTGATCCAGCTCGTTATCCACGTCTAGGGTCCCAACCATCTCGTTTTCCTCTCGATCGACGTAGAAAAGCGGCGCTGCATCCTTGTCAGGAGCATCGGGGGGCTGCGAGTCAGGCACCCGCTCTCCCTCTCCAGGGGGGGGCTTGCCTGCGCCCCCCCGGGACGACCGTCGGGCACCCGATGGCATGGCACGCTGGTCTCGGAAACTGCCTGTTTTTAAGTGCATGGTGTCGCATTGTTGTTTAAAGCAGTAAAAGATGAACAAAAGCGTGGACAAACCTCAAGATATTGGCACGACCGGGGGGCAGTTCACCGGGAACGTGCTTGGCCCTCTGATGGCGAGTCGCCAGGCCTCGCTGCTCCTTCCCAGCGTCTCGGGCCACCCTTTGCCTTCTAGTTTCCTCTCCTTCCCTGTCGCCCTTTCGCACATTGTAATTTTAAGTTTTCCCCTCCACGTCAACCGAAAGTGTCCCGTCGGAGCATCGGGATAGCCGACGCGAAGGTGCAAAAGACGGGGAACCGGCGTTAAAAGCACAAACCGGGTACTGAACGCCGTCACTCCTACGTGTACAGCAAGCAGTATGTCGAGTAGCCTTGGAGATGCCCACTACTTCGAGGAGAGTATGAACGCAACTAAGGTATGTAGCCGAGGTTCGGTCCTGGTTTCGTCCATTCTGGTTACCCCGCTTCCAACTGGGTGGATGTAACATGTCTTGGAACAATAAAAAAAATGTATCCCTAACTATGAAGGTGCGAGCTTACTTGGCCTCAAACAAGGAAGCAGAAAAATCACGGGGCATGAAATTTCTTCTTGCCAATATGAGCAAAGGTACGTGAGGCATCTCGTTTTCCTCGTGGGACAACGCTCGTGAAGAGCCTTGAGATAAAGCCTCCCCTCATGCTATCTCTCAGTATCCGTATCGAGCCAAGGCCTGCTTTCCTCCTCCGGACTGATCAAAACATGTTGTCATACCCTTAAAAATCTCACGACCGATCTCTTCATTTTTGTGTGGTTCTGACCTCGCTCACCTTCTCCCTGTTTTCGCGGTGGCGTCCTACATTTGTGTGGGATGGGTAGGTCGCGATATGTCCGAGTTTTTCCCGGACGTGGTGAAGAATGTGGTGGTGCGGGCGGTGGAGGTGAAAAAGATGGTCTACATGTACCTGGTACACTACGCGGACGCCACCGGCACCTGTCGCGAGCTGGCCCTCCTCTCCATAAACTCCTTCCAGAAGGACCTGGCGGCGGCGAACCAGCTCATCCGGGCCCTGGCCCTGCGGGTCATGACCTCCATCCGCGTCCCCGACATCATTCAGATCCAACTCCTCGCCATCTTCAAGTGCGCCTCCGACTCCTCTCCCTACGTGCGCCGATGCGCGGCCACGGCTGTCCCCAAGGTCTACGCGCTGGAGCCGGCCCAGCTCCCCGCCCTCGTCCAGGCCCTGGAGAAGCTCCTCCGAGACTCCTCCACCATGGTCTTGGGCTCCGCGGTGGCGGCTTTCAACGAGGTGTGCCCAACCAATTACGAGCTTCTGCATCGCAGCTACCGCAAGCTCTGCCACCTGCTTGCCGACATGGACGAGTGGACGCAGATCTCGGTGCTCACGGTGCTGACGCGGTACGTCCGCACACAGTTCTGTGACCCAGCGCCCGAAACGCGTGCCGTCATCCTGGCGCAGGCGCAGCAACGTGCTTCCTCCTCCGCCTCGGGGGCAGCGGCAGTGACGGCCTTGGAGGGGTCGGGAAAGAGGATGCAAAGGGCGATCAAACGCCGGGTGGTCAAGAAGGCTTTCTACTCGGACGAGGAGGACGTGAGCGAGGAGGAGGAGGTCCAGATCCCGGACCCCCTGGGCCCGTCCGCAAGCCTGCCCTCCTGGTCCC